TCATCTATAACTATCGGTGCACCAGCTTCATTTGGTGCACCTGGTGCACCATCGGTGCACCATTGAAGATTAGTTTCACCAGCAACTCTAGTTATCATATATCCGAAGTTACGCTGTCCCATCAGTGTAAAATATCTGAGAAAAATCGAAAGCTCTTCGTGGTCTATGTTTCGACATAGAACGTTCTTTTTCTCAGTTACTTGGTGTTCCTGCGGTCGTCAATACACGGGGAATTTATGAATGAATAGGATATATGCTAACTAATGAGTGCGTCACCGTAGACTATTCCGGCCGTGCAATATTTAGTTGTTAATAACTATGACATAAATACTTACTTAAATATTTAATAATAGTCGTCGAGAAGATGGTGATGTGGACATTATATATAAAATTCGAAAATTTGGATTCGTGTGACCTGGATAACCAACCAACAAATGCTCACCTTTAGATATATTTTTATTTTTGTATACTCTATAATTGTTAATCTAACATATCTGATTTATTAATAAATGCTAGTATCGTGAATAGCGAAGTATCCTAAATCAAGATTAGCAAAATAATTTGGGATATTTTTTTATCAGAAAATTAATACTAGACTGAAGCTTTATTTGGTTAAATGTGCAAATTCCTGTGTTCTGTATTTTATCCTGTACTTTATTTTTATTTGAATATTAATAAAGCTGACTCGTGGTCGAATTTTGCATACATAATCGGTTTGCTTTTACATGTGTATTTCAAAATGTATTGTATCGTATTGATATCTATGTCTATTAACTCGAGAATTTTCTTGGCAAAAGTGATCGGCGTGACAAATTGTCACGCGCATATAATTTTTTTATTTGAATAATAAAAAGCATCAACTATAAAAAAAATATTTTTCAAAAACGTGTACAGTAAAATTTCTTTCAACCATTTCTAAAATTATATAAATTAATAGTAAACATGCAAACTCAAAGAGGCGAATCTAAAGACTTATCCGAAGTCGATTCATTAAAACTGGAAAATGCTAGGCTTATGACTAGAATCGCAGAATTAGAACAAATAGTAAAAGAAAAAAACGCACTTGAGACTGAGCTAAAACAGATTATAGAAAAAAATGCTGAGAAAGCAAAGCTAAGAGATCATACGAAAATCGAGTTAGTGATATTAAGTTTGCGAATAATATTGATGACAAATCGGCAAGAACGATAATATATAATGAAATCAAATCACTCCTTCCTGATATTACTGATGTAAACTTGCGAAAAATAACTTCCAGAGCAAAAAAAATATATATATATTCTATGAAGAGTAGGAATTGATAAAATTAGTCAAATAACTTACAGCACAAGTGCTATTTCAAGTCTAAAGGATATTCTAATTCAAAACCTCATCAAGTCATCAACGTTACAAATTGTCACGCACACGTAATAGAACCATCTAGTTCAAGGACGTATCTACTTTTCTATCGTTTCAACAAAAATTCTAGAAACTAGGGTAAGTGAGGAAGCCAAGAAAACATTACCAGAAACATCACCCATATCTCAGATAAGTACATCTAACAAAACCCGACCTCCAATTTTACTTTGCCCGATGATCCTAAAGAGAAGCAAGCACACATTATCAAAATGGTATTATATAGATCGCTTTTCACATTTATCATTGAAATACAGTAATGATTATGGCGATTACTTGTTTTAAAAATCAAATCGATATTTTTATACGATAATTTTCCGGTGGTACCTAGTCGTACGCCACAAAAAAAATCACGTGTCTGCAAAATTTTGGTGGAAGATGGCTTATACCAGATATATCAGTAAAAAATTTTTATCTTTTATATATAACACTTACATATAATACTGTGCATAGTCAAGAGTTGTTACTTACAAGAACATGGACGATTCACTTTACGATGAATTTGGTAACTACCTTGGACCTGAGTTACCTGACTCCGATGAGGAAGAAATGGCTCCTCAACCTATGCAAGAAGTTGAAGATCTATATGAAGAAGGGGAAGAAGACGTTGGTGGCCCAAGTATGGCGCTTATGGAAGTAGACGGTATGTGATGTTCTTTTTTTTTTCTGTCTTTATTCTCGCTCTCTTCGATTATATGCGAAAGTTAAAAGTTTCTCTTTTGACTTTTGTTTTCACTATCACTTGTTTACTTTTGAGACGCGAGTTTAACCTTACACGCCTTTTCATTATCGCTTTTTCTTTTTTTTTTTTTTTTTATTTATTTATGCGACTGACAGCTGAGGCTTAACCTCTTTCAGATGTTCCTCAGACTCAAGTTATTCTTCATGAAGATAAAAAATATTATCCGAGTGCTGAAGAAGTTTATGGTCCTGAGGTGGAAACTTTGGTTCAGGAAGAAGATACTCAACCTTTATCAGAACCTATAATTCAACCAATAAAAATAAAAAAGTTTCAACTAGTAGAAAAAAATCTTCCAGAAACAAGATTTAAAAAAGAGTATTGTATTTTTTATAGTATTTATTATTATGATTTATTAGGATTTATTATGATTTATTATATTGATATTAATTAAATTTATATATTTTTGTTTTGATTTATTAGATTTTTGGTGGATATGATGAATTTTCCTGAATTGATAAGAAATGTCGCTATTGTCGGTCATTTACATCATGGTAAAACTTCTTTTGTTGATATGTTGGTTAATGAGACCCATTCTTCGGTTGCATGGGATGTGGATAAGCAGGTATTTTGATCAATTGTCATTTGACAATTTGTCATTGATTTTTATATCATTATATTCATTTATATTATTATAAAATTTGTTAATATATATATAATGTGCATATGTAGGAACGTTACACAGATACTCATACGTTAGAAAGAGATAGAGGTGTTAGTATCAAGAGTATGCCAATGACCCTTGTCTTGCAAGACACAAAATTTAAATCTTACTTGTTCAATATTATGGACACGCCGGGTAAATATGTAAATCATTATTAATTTTCATCATTAATTATATATCCATATTGCATAAATTTTATTTAATTATCTTTATATAAATAGGTCACGTTGATTTTGTGGATGAGGTT